TCTCATAGTCGGGCAAGGTTTAATAATAGCTTTGAGTTAATTTTTTCTGCAATATCTACGCTTTATTACTATATATAGTGATCATTTCATCAGAGTTTTTTGTCTTACATCATTCGTGTAATTAATTATTACATGCATTTGTCAAATAAACTTAAAATCTCACATAATTACTGTCACCCTTAGTTTTTTATGATAACTAGAAGACATAATAACCGACAGAGATAACCGACGTCATCTCTGAATAGCACCTTGCACATAGTATGGGTTTCTCTGGATGATTTTTTTTTTTAATTTTTTTAATTTTAATTTTTATTTTTTTATCTTCTAAAGGGAGTTGATACGGTTGTGTGGATGATGTTTTTTTTTTTTTTTTTTTTTTTTGTTTGGTTTTTGTGGTGTTCTTTTTTTTTTTTTTTTTTTTTTTTGAGACAGAGTCTCGCTCTGTCGCCTGGGCTGGAGTGCCGTGGCGTCAGCCTCACTCACAGCAGCCTCCAACTCCTGGCCTCCAGCGATCCTCCTGCCTCGGCCTCCCTCCCAAGTAGCTGGGACTACAGGCATGCGCCACCACGCCCGGCTTGTTTTTTCTCATACCTGTCATCCCAGGACTCTGGGAGGCCGAAGGGGGAGGATCGCTCGAGGTCAGGAGTTGGAGGCCAGAGCCTGAGCAAGAGCGAGACCCCGTCTCTACTATAAAATAGAAATAAATTAGCTGAAAAACTAAAAATATATATTAAAAAGAAAAAAAAAATGAGCCGGGCGTGTTGGCGCATGCCTGTAGTCCCAGCTACTCGGGAGGGAGGCCGAGGCAGGAGGATCGCTGGAGGCCAGGAGTTGGAGGCTGCTGTGAGCGAGGCTGACACCATGGCACTCTAGCCTGGGGACAGAGCGAGATTCTGTCTCAAAAAAAAAAAAAAAAATTCTCCACAGGTCCAGGAGGTCCCTTTAAATATTTGACCTATAAGGACTAGCACATAACATAAAATAATGAGAAAAAAGAAGAAAAAAAGAAAAAACATTAAAAAAAAGTTTTAAAAATAAATGTTTGATCTATAAGGACTAGCACATAGAATAATGAGAAAAAAGAAAAAAAAAGAACAAAATATAAAAAAAATTAAAAAAATAAATATTTGTTTGATCTATAAGGACTAGCAGATAGAATAATAAGAAAAAAGACAAAAAAAAACATTTAAAAAAATTTTTAAAAATAAATCTGTGTGACCTATGAGGGCTAGCACATAGAATAATGAGAAAAAAGAAGGAAAAAAAAGAAAAAACAAATTTAAACACTTATCTGACCTATAAGGACTAGCACATAGAATAATGAGAAAAAAAGAAAAAAAAAGAGAAAGCACTTAAAAAAATTTAAAAAAATAAATATTTGTTTCACATATAAGGACTAGCAGATACAATAATGAGAAAAAAGAAAAAACATTAAAAATTTTTTAAAAATAAAATATTTGACGATAGAAAACGATTCAGTTGGAACGAAGCCCTCAAAAAATTCACTAAGAAAAGATGTGTCTCAGCACTCCATTTAAATCATCAATAGGTTTCATGCAAACATTTTTCTTTTTTTTAAAAAAAAAAAAGGAACTGCAAACTATAAGAAAACTCCCCCATCTCCCGAAAAAAAAATTTAATGTCAATACGTACTCGAGATGGTACTTTTTTTTGTTTGTTCGTTTTTTGTTTTATTTTTACAAAAGCTTTCTCACCCAATGCCTTATTTTTTTATTTTTTATTTTAATTTATTTTTTTTTAAGGGACAGGTGAACAGGAGAAATGGGAACAAGACATCAACACGTGATGATGGTTGGGGTTTTTTTTGTTTGTTTGTTTGTTTGTTTGTTTTTTTATTGTGAGAATAACAAATCCTCCCCCCTTGTTCCCGATCCCCTCTGATTTAGGGAGAAAAAACAAAACAAAACGAAAAAAAATGTCCCGGCCATCGTCGGCAAACGGGAGATGACTTAACCCCAGGGAGTGTCTTCCCCCCGGGGTCACCGAGAACCCCGAAATTCACCTTCCTCTTATATTCTGTCTTCTCACTCTCTTCCTTTTTCTTTTCTTATTTTCATTTGGATCTTCCGAAAGATGATAAACCTCCAGCAACCCAGCCCCAAAGGTACCGTGTTTCCCCGAAAATCAGACTGGGGGGGGGTGTGTCTTCTATTTATTTTTCCCCCCCAAAACTGTGGCCCGCCCCCGTGTTTTGTTTCGTTTTTTTTTTTTTTGCCGCCTCTGCCAGTCCTGCTTTGCAGCCGACCCTTTCCCGTTCCCGTGCATTGCGCGTGTGCCTAACGTGTGCATCACGTGTTCTGCACTCTCCAACGGCCTTAGGGACGGTGACCTGGGGGGTTCCCCTCCACTCTCTGTTTAAAAAATTTGGGGACCCCTGCCCTAGGGTCCGAATTTTAGGGGACAGTGTTATTTTTTTGTGGGTGTGTGTTTTTTTTTTGTATTTTTTGTTTTTTTTTTTAAGCGCGGTGCAACCGTCTCTCCGCTGGAACGTCTTTCCTCAACTCTCCAGACGCCCCGGTTTCCCTGTTTAGAACCTTCTAGAACCTTCTAGAACCGACCTCCCCCTGTCTGTCGAGCCCCAGAGCGAGGGCGGGGCCGAGGGGAAGGGCCTCCGGTCGTCAGTCCCCTCCCCCTGGCGCAGGGGTCGCCATGGGGACGCGCTGCCGGTAACCAGGCAGCCCCGTTGCTAAGGCCGGTTGCTAAGGCTGATCTTCCCCGGGCGGCCGGGCTTTGACGGCGCCAATGTGCACACGTCCCCGCTCTTGGGTGGGGAAAAAAAAAAAAAAAAACGATTTCCCGGGGGCGGGGAGGGAGGTCTGATTTTTTTCGCGCGTCTTCCACCCTCCGCGGGTTCGATTCCCGGCAGCCGCCTGACGGGGCCGGCTTCCAGCGGGGGTAAACTGAGGCAGGGGCCCTCTCTGGATCAGTGGAAGCAGACGCTCCCCGACTCCCCGAAGCAAGTGTCCGGGGTGACCTCCGGGAGTTCAGGGGGTGCCGGTCTCGGCCGGCGGGGCTGCAGGATCTCTCCGGTCGGGGGGACCATATTCGAACGACCGGTGTCACCGTTCGCGTGACAAGAGGAAACAGGAGGAAGAGGAGGAAGAGGAGGAGGAGGAAGACATCGGTCCTCCCGTAAAGCGTGCACCCCCTGACGCCCGACAGTCGCCGGGGCGATCGACGGGAGACTCGGAACCTTAGGGAGAAAGCCCGTTTCCCTCCCAAAAACCCCCGGCGTCCCCAAAAGTAGGCGATTTTCGGTCGGATGACACGACTTCACGTTATTTTTTCGTTTTTTGTTTTTGTTTTTGTTTTTTTTTTTTTGAGACAAGAGTCTCGCTCTGTCGCCCGGGCTAGAGTGAGGGCCAGGGCGTCAGCCTCGCTCACAGCGGCCTCCGACTCCTGGGCTTGAGCGATGAGCCTCCTGCCTCAGCCTCCAATTCCTGAGTAGCTGGGACTACAGGCACGTGCCACCACGCCCGGCTCGTTTTTGTTTTCTATATATTTTTAGTTGGCCAATTAATTTCTTTCTTTCTTTTTCTTTTTTTTTTTTTTTTTAGTAGAGACGGGGTCTTGCTCTTGCCCAGGCTGGTCTCGGATTGTCAGCCTCGAGTGATCCTCCTGCCTCGGCCTCCTCCCGAGTAGCTGGGACTACAGGCGTGCGCCACCACGCCCAGCTCGTTTTTGTTTTCTATATATTTTTAGTTGGCCAATTAATTTCTATTTTTTTTTCTTTTTAGTAAAGACGGGGTCTCGCTCTTGCTGAGGCTGGCCTTGACCTTCTGACCTCCAGTGGTCCTCCCGCCTCGGCCTCCCTCCTGAGTAGCTGGGACTACAGGCACGCGCCACCACGCCCGACTAATTTCTTTTTCTATATATTTTTAGTTGGCAAATTAATTAATTTATTTTTTAGTAGCGACGGAGTCTCGCTCTTGCTCAGGCTGGCCTCGAGCTCCTGACCTCGAGCATGATCCTCCCTGCTCAGCCTCCCGAGGAGCTAGGACTACAGGCACACGCCACCACGCCCGGGTAAAATTTTTTTATATATATATTTTTAGTTGTCCAGCTCATTTTCTATTTTTAGTAGAGACGGAGTCTCACTCTTGTTCAGGCTGGCCTCGACCTCCCAACCCACTTGATCCTCCGTCCTCGGCCTCCCTCCCTAGTACCTGGGACTACAGGCATGTGCCACCACGCCCGGGTAATTTATATATATATATATGTTTTTTTAGGTGTTTGGCGAATTCCTTCCAATTTCTTTTTAGTAGAGACGGGGTCTCGCTCTTGCTGAGGCTGGCCTCGACCTCCTGACCTCCAGCGATCCTCCCGCCTCAGCCTCCCGAGTAGCTGGGACTACAGGCATGCGCCACCACGCCCAGCTAATGTTTTTATATGTATATTTATATTTTTAGGTGTTTGGCAAATTCCTTCCAATTTTTTTTTAGTAGAGACAGGGTCTTGCTCTTGCTCAGGCTGGCCTCCAACTCCCGGCCTCAAGTGATCCTCCCGCCTCGGCCTCCCGAGTAGCTGGGACTACAGGCACGCACCATGACGCCCGGCTAATTTATATATATATATATATTTTTTTTCAGTTGTTTGGCAAATCCCTTTCAATTTTTCTAGTAGACACGGGGGTGTTGCTCTTGCTCAGGCCAGCCTCGACCTCCCGACATCAAGCGATCCTCCCGCCTCGGCCTCCCATAATTTTTTCTATATATTTTTTTATTGTCCAGCTCATTTCTTTCTATTTTTTAGTAGAGACGTGGGTCTCGCCCTTGCTCAGGCCGGCCTCGACCGATCCTCCGGCCTGGGCCTCCCAGAGTGCCGGGACGACAGGCGTTGAGCCTCCACCGCGCCCCCCCCCCCCCCGGTCTCGTCTTCTCGTTATGAGACTCGAACTCGCGTCAGGGGGGAAGGAAGAAGGTCGAGGGTCGGGGGTCGGGGGCCGGGGTTGGGGAGTAGAGAACGTAAAGACAGAAGAATCGAGATCTATAAATATTTCCGGAAGGTTCCACCCGAGAAGGTGTCTGTTTCTCTTACAGCAAAAAAAAAAATAAAATAAAATAAAATAAAAATAAGGATCGAGGCCCCACGCTTGAATCCACACGTGTGTCCGGACAAAGCCGAGGCCCCGGGCCGGGTTCTAGAGGGTTCTAGAAGGTTCCGCCGGTCAACCCAGGAGTCTCCGTCGCGAGTCCACGTCCCCGACAGGTGCTATAACACGCTGGCCTCTTCCATGGCCTCCATCCACCTGTGGGAGGAAGGGACGGCTCGGCCTCACGAGGCTCTGCCTGACCCTCGGGCCTCAGACCCTAGAGGCCACTGGGCCAGCCTCCCTCCTCGGCCTCCTTCCCAGAGTAGCTGGGACGACAGGCGTGAGCCTCCGTGCCCGGCCTCGTTTTTTTCTGTATGTTTTTTAGTTGGCCGATTAATTTCTTTCTATTTTTTTTTTTTAATAGTTGAAGGGGTCTCGCTCTTACTCAGGCTGGCCTCCAACTCCTGGCCTCCAGCGATCCTCCCTCCTCAGCCTCCTTCCCAGAGTAGCTGGGACGACAGGCGTGAGCCTCCATGCCTGGCCTCGTTTTTTTCTGTATGTTTTTTTAGTTGGCCGATTAATTTCTATCTATTTTTTTTTTTTTTAGTAGAGATGGGGTCTCGCTCTTGCTCAGGCTGGCCTCCAACTCCTGACCTCCCTCCTCGGCCTCCCAGAGTGCTACAGGATGACAGGCGTGAGCCACTGCCCCTGGACAGTACTTTTTTTCCCCAACACACTTTTTCTTTTTTTATTTTTTTCTTTTCATTTTTTCTTTTTCTTTCTTTCTTTTTTTTTTAAATCTTTTTCTTTTTTGCTTTGCTCACAAAACTGAAATCCGCAACCACGTTTTCCATATGTAGCAAAAGGCCTGGAACATCGTGCAGGAGTTGGACTGAATCCACCCATGCCTGTGTGGAACGAACCCTAACAGGCTAAAAATTCCTGCACGACGCGGAGGCTCACGCCCGTCATCCCGGCACTCTGGGAGGCCCAGGCAGGAGGCTCGCTCGAGGTCAGGAGGTCGAGGCCAGCCTGAGCAAGAGCGAGACCCCGTCTCTACTAAAAGTAGAAAGAAATTAATTGACCAACTAAAAACATATATAGAAAAACCGAGCCGGGCATGGTGGCGCATGCCTGTAGTCCCAGCTACTCGGGAGGCTGAGGCAGGAGGATCACTGGAGGCCAGGAGTCGGAGGCTGCTGTGAGCGAGGCTGACGCCACGGCACTCACTCCAGCCCGGGCGACAGAGCCAGACTCTGTCTCAGAATAAATAAATTAATTAATTAATTAAATTAAATATATAAAATAACATAAATAAAAACAAAAAAATAAAATTAAATAAAAAACAAAAAAAATAGTAAAAAAGTAAAATAAAAATTAAATGAAATATGAAAAATATTAAATTAAAATAAAAAAAATAAACAGTAAAAGTAAAGTAAAAAAATTAAATAAAATGAAATACGAAAAATAATAAAATAAAGAACAAAAAACAGTAAAAAGTAAAAAAATAAAATATGAAAAATAATAAAATAAAATAAATAAAAAACAGTAAAAGAGTAAAATAAAAAATTAAATAAAATGAAATATGAAAAATAATAAGATAAAATAAATAAAAAACAAACAGTAAAAAAGCAAAATGAAAAATTAAATAAAATGAAGTATGAAAAATAATAAAATAAAGTAAATAAAAACCAAAAAAGAGACAGTAAAGAGTAAAATAAAAATTAAATAAAATGAAGTATGAAAAATAATAAAATAAAGTAAATAAAAAACAAAAAATAAACAGTAAAAAAGTAAAATAAAAAATTAAATAAAATGAAATATGAAAAATAAAATAAAAAAGAAAATAATAAACAAGAAAACAATAAATAAAAAACAAGAAAAGAACTAAAAAAATAAAAGAAATAGAAGAAAATATAAAAGACAATAAAATAAATAAAAAAATAAAATAAAAGATAAAAAACAAAATAAAACAAAAAAAAAGGAAATAAAAAAATAAAATATGAAAGCCAATAAAACAAAAAGACGAAAAGGGAAAAAATAAACTATGGAAAACAATAAGGTAAAACTAAAAAAACAAAAAGGGAAAAGACAAAAGAAATAAAACATGAAAAACAAAATTTAAAAAAACCAAAATAAGAGGAAGAAAAAGTAAAAAAAAAAAAATTCAAACAAAACATAATAAAACATTAAAAAAAAAACCCAAACAAAGAAAAAACAAACAGTAAAATAATAAAATAAAATAAAATAAAATAAAGGGGGGGGCACGGGCAATATATGGAACCCTTAACACGTGGACACCCCCCCCCAGAATATGCTAAAATAAAATTTAAAAAAAATAATAATAATACTAATAATAATAAAGTGGACTGAAAGGTGAAAATGATAATAAAGTGCAATAGCAGAGGGAGTCCCGGGTGGGGCAGCGGCCCTGGGGGCCGGGCCTGGTGACAGCAGGGGACGTCAGTTCTGTGACATCCCGGCCCCCCCGGGTCCCATCCCTACCTCTGGGCCGAGCTGGCATCCTCGGCCCTGAAGCTGTAGAACAGGCTCTGCTTGTGGTAGAGGTGGAAGGTCGCTCCGGCCTCCCTTCTGGCCTCCCTCCTGGCCTCCCTCCCGGCCTCCTCCCTGTCCGGGGTGACCTTGAACCCCAGCAGGGGCAAGCTCTCCTGGGCCACTCGGTCCTGCCAGGGGGGAAACACGGGCATTTCCTTTTCCTTTCCTTGGCTTCGACACCCGGAGAGACGGCCACAGCTCGGGGGGCAGCCTCCAACCTCCCGGCCTCCACCGAGCCTCCCGCCTGGGCCTCCCTCCCGGGTAGCTGGGACGACAGGCGTGAGCCACCAGGCCCGGCTCGTTTTTTTCTATATGTTTTTAGTCGTCCAGCCCATCTCTTTCTATTTTATAGTAGAGACGGGGGTCTCGCTCTTGCTCAGGCTGGCCTCGAACTCCCGACCTCGAATGATCCTCCTGCCCTGGCCTCCCCTATGACCACTTTACTCTTATTTTTTTTTTTTTTGAGCCAGAGTCTCGCTCTGTCGCCCGAGCCAGAGAGAGTGCCGTGGTGTCAGCCTCACTCACAGCAGCCTCCGACTCCTGGCCTCCAGCGAGCCTCCCGCCTCAGCCTCCCTCCTGAGTAGCTGGGACTACAGGCATGCGCCACCACGCCCGGCTCATTTTTTTCTATACATTTATATATGCAAAATTATATATATTTATATATGGCTCGAGGTCAGGAGTTGGAGGCCGGCCTGAGCGAGAGCGAGACCCCGTCTCTACTATAAATAGAAATTAATCGGCCAACTAAAATATATCGAGAAAAAACGAGCCGGGCTCGGAGGCGCATGCCTGCAGTCCCAGCCACTCAGGAGGGAGGCCGAGGCGGGAGGCTCGCTCGAGGCCGGGAGGTCGAGGCCAGCCTGAGCAAGAGCGAGGCCCCGTCTCTGCTAAAACAAATAGAAAGAAGTTAGCTGGACAACTAAAAATGTATAGAAATCTATCTACCTACATATATATTTATATATATAGATATATATAGAAAATACATAATTTTTATATATAAATAATTTATATAATTTTCTATATATAAATTCCCATACATAATTTTGCACATATAAATATATATAAATTTCCATATATAATTTTGCATGTATAAACATATATAAATTTCCGTATGTGATTTTGCATATGTAAATATATTTCCATGTATAATTTTGCATATATAAATATAAATAAAATTCCATACGTGATTTTGCATATATAACTATATATAAATTTCCATATGTAATTTTGCATATATAACTATATAAATTTCCATATATAATTTTGCATATATAAATATATAAATTTGCATATGTAATTTTGCACATATATATAAATTTCAATATATAATTTTGGACATATAAATATATATAAATTTCCATACATAATTTTGCATATGTAAATGTATATAAATTCCATATGTAATTTTGCATATAAATATATATTTCCATATATAATTTTGCATATATAATTTCCATATATAATTTTGCATATATACATTTCCATATGTAATTTTGCACATATAAATATATATAAATTTCCATATATAATTTTGCATATATAAATATATATAAATTCCATATGTAATTTTGCATATATGAATTTCTGTATATAATTTTGCATATATATAAATTTCCATTATATAATTTTGCATATATAAATATATACAAATTTCCATATATAATTTTGCACATATATAAATTTCCATACGCAATTTTGCATATATAAAAATATGAATTTCCATGTGTAATTTTGCATATATAAATATATATAAATCTCCATATGTGATTTTGCATACGTAAATATACAAAAATTTCCGTATGTAATTTTGCATATGTAAATATATGTAAATTTCCGCGTGTAATTCTGCATGTGTAAATATATATGTTTCCATATGTAATTTTGCATATGTAAATATATAAAAATTTCCATATGTAATTTTGCATATATAAATATATATAAATTTCCATATGTGCTTTTGCATATGTAAATATATAGAAATTTCCATATGTAATTTTGCATGTGTGAATATATATAAATTTCCATGTATAATTTTGCATATGTAAATATATAGAAACAAATAGCCAGGAGTCGGAGGCTGCCGTGATTGAGGCTGACGCCCCGGCGCTCACCCCGGCCCGGGCGACAGAGGGAGACTCGGCCTCAAGAAACACAAAGGAAGGGAGGACAGGGAGGCAGGGGGGCCCCCACCTACCTCGCTGGCCGCGTAGGTGAACAGGACTTTGCCTTTGATGACAAACCACAGCCTCTTCCAGGGCCTCCGGCCTCCCTTGCAGCGGCTCAGGTAGCCGCTCATGGCGGATCCCTCAGCGGAGGCGGCCACCTGGCGGGAGGGAAGTAGGACAGCGGTCAGGGCGCACTGTGTGGTCGTGGCTCCAACGCAGCCAGCGGCCTCCGTGAGGCTGGCAAATCTGTCGCGAAGTCAGCGGCAGACGTCACGCTCTGAGAAACAGGATTACTTTTCTTGAGACAGAGTCTCGCTCTGTCGCCCGGGCTGGAGAGAGGGCCGTGGCCTCAGCCTCGCTCACGGCAGCCTCCAACTCCTGGGTTCGAGCGAGCCTCCCGCCTCGGCCTCCCTCCCGAGTGGCTGGGACTACAGGCATGCGCCTCCACGCCCGGCTCGTTTTTTCTATATATATTAGTTGGCCAATTAATTTCTTTGTATTTATAGTAGAGACAGGGTCTCACTCTTGCTCAGGCTGGCCTCCAACTCCCGACCTCGAGCGAGCCTCCTGCCTCGGCCTCCCAGAGTGCTGGGATGACAGGCGTGTATATAATTCTGTGTATTTTTAACTTTAATTAAAAAATACAATTAACTTGTATTTTTAGAAGAGACGGGGTCTCACTCTTGCTCAGGCCGGCCTCCAACTCCCGACCTCCAGCGAGCCTCCCGCCTCGGCCTCCCTCCCGAGTAGCTGGGACTCCAGGCGTGCGCCTCCACGCCCGGCTCGTTTTTTTTAATATATTTTTACTCGTCCAGCTCATTTCTTTCTATTTTTTTTTTTTTTAGTAGAGACGGGGTCTCGCTCTTGCTTCTCAGGCTGGCCTCCACCTCCCGGCCTCGAGCGAGCCTCCCTCCTCGGCCTCCCAGAGTAGCTGGGACGACAGGCGTGAGCCTCCGCGCCCGGCCACGTGAATATCAATATACACCTACAATGTCACGGTCCTGTCTTGCAGGGCGGAATTCAGTGGGGCCCATGCGGAACTTTCTAGAACCCTGGTGACCCCCCCCCCCGGATTTCCCTGGGTACCGGGTCTGGCCACGGCACAGGAGGGAAAAAAAAAAAAAAAAAGAGGCCGAAGGAGGAGGCCGAGAGCATGGGAGTGAGGCCTGGAGGCTCCGTCTGCAGAAATCTGAGGCCCAGGGGTGGCGGCCACCAGCCGGGCATCCTTAAGGGCCGGGAAGGGGAGGCCAGGCCTCTGTCCCCTTTGGTGGCCGGGACGTCCTGTCACAAATGCTCCACAGCGGCCGGGCGCGGAGGCCCACGCCTGTCGTCCCAGCTACTCGGGAGGGAGGCCGAGGCGGGAGGCTCGCTCGAGGTCGGGAGTTGGAGGCCAGCCTGAGCAAGAGCGAGACCCCGTCTCTAGTAATAAAAATTAAAAAATAAATTAATTGGACAATTAAAAATATATACAAAAAACGAGCCGGGCGTGGTGGCGCACGCCTGTCGTCCCAGCTACTCGGGAGGGAGGCTGTGGAGGGAGGATCGCTGGAGGCCAGGAGTTGGAGGCCAGCCTGAGCAAGAGCGAGACCCCGTCTCTACTATAAATAGAAATTAATTGGCTAATTAAAAATATATAGAAGAACTGTAATCCCAGCTAGTCGGGAGGCCGAGGCGGGAGGATCGCTGGAGGCCAGGAGTTGGAGGCCAGCCTGAGCAACAGCGAGACCCCGTCTGTACTTAAAAAAATTAGAAAATAAATTAATTGGACAATTAAAAATATACAGAAAAAACGAGCCAGGCGTGGAGGCGCATGCCTGCAGTCCCAGCTACTCGGGAGGGAGGCCGAGGCGGGAGGCTCGCTCGATCCTCGAAGTCGGAGGCTGCTGTGAGCGAGGCCGACTCCCCGGCGCTCGCTCCAGCCCGGGCGACAGAGCCAGACTCTTGTCTCAAAAACCAAATGGAAAGAACAGAAAAAAAAAAAAAAAATCAGATGTTCTTCCCAGGAGGCTGGGGGTGGAGGCCGGCCTCGAGCCTCCCCTGAAGGCCACCTACCTCGCTCAACGCGGACGGGACTCTCTTCTGCTTCTTGAGGCTGGCGGGGCCGAGGCTCTGGAAGACGGAGGACAAGCGGGCCGAGGACAGCGGGAAGCTCATGCTCACCGGGCGCTCTGCGGGCCACATTCAGAGGGTGGACTGGAGGCCGGGGTGGAGGCTGCCTCCCCGGCCGGAACGTTCCGGAATGTAGCGGAACGTTCCAGAATGTTCTGGAACGTTCCGGAATGTTCTGGAACGTTCCGGAATGTTCCGGAACGTCCCGGAACTCCGACTCCCTCCGTCGCTAATGGCAACAGGCTGTCCCCTCTCTGATGACCCCGAGTAGCCTCAACCCACCCCCCGCCCCCCGGGGAGGAGGAGGACGACTTGAGGGAGTCCCAAGCCCCAGCCTCAGCCTCCAATTTAGAGGCTCCTCAGCCTTTCCCTGACCTCTGACCCCTCTGCTATTTCCGCCTGACACCATCCCCCCCCTTTTTTTTTTCTTTTTTTTTTTTGAGACAGAGTCTCGCCCTGTCGCCCCCCGGCGCCAGCCTCGCTCACAGCAGCCTCCAGCTTCGAGGTTCGAGTGATCCTCCCGCCTCGGCCTCCCTCCCGAGTAGCTGCGACTACAGGCACGCGCCTCCACGCCCGGCTCGTTTTTATCTATTTTCCGTCGTTTGGGCTAATTTCTAATTTTTTTTTTAGTAGATTCGGGGTCTCGCTCTTGCTCAGAGGCCGGCCTCCGTTGAGCGATCCTCCCTCCTTTCGGCCTCCACCCAGAGTGCCCGGACGACAGGCGTGAGCCTCCGCCGCGCCCTTGGCCCTCACTCCCCAGACCGGCCACACCGGGACCCCGAACCTCCGGGGCGGCCTCCCTAAAAAACGGCCTCCGCCGGCACAGACCTCACCCCCGAGCCTCCACCTTCTCTGTCCCTTTCTCAAACTCAGCCGCCCGCGGAACCCCTTCCCTACGGGAGCCACCGCGTCGGGGTTCCGCGGAACCCGCGCTTTGGGAAAACGCTGCCCCCCCCATCAGCGGCGGTCGCGAGTTCGAAACCTCCTTAGTCGTCCCGGCCTCCGCTCTGGGCCTCCTTTCCTCCCAGTTTTGTCCCCGGTGGGGAAATGGGGCTCTTTTGGTGATCCGGGGTTCTCAGGGGGGGGAAGGGGAAGCTACTAGAAGGTCAGGGAAGTGGGGTCACCTCTGGGGGCGCCGAGGCCGGGCCCCCCGCGCCGGCCCAGCTCCGCGAAGCAGCTGTCGCAGACCTTGGCCGGCCGGTCGTGCAGGTAGCGCAGCGGGGACTTGTTCCGGGAGCAGCTGCGGCACACGACCTGGCGGGGGACCCCGGGGTCGGGGGTCACGCGGGGCCAGGGGGGTGGCGGCCTCCTCGTGCGGCCTCCGTTAGTCCCCAGTCTCGCTTCCATTCGGGTCACGGCCTCCGATCCTCCCCAGCCTCGCTCCTACTCGTCCGGCCTCCTTTAGTCCCCGGCCTCACTTCTATTTGGGTCCTGGCCTCCATTCCTCCCCAGCCTCGCTCCTCCTTGGGTCCCAGCCTCTGTTCACCCCCAGCCTCGCTCCTACTCGTCCGGCCTCCGTTCCTCCCCAGCCTCGCTCCTCCTTGGGTCCCGGCCTCCGTTCACCCCCAGCCTCGCTCCTACTCGTCCGGCCTCCATTCCTCCCCAGCCTCACTCCTCCTTGGGTCCCGGCCTCCGGTCCTCCCCAGCCTCGCTCCTCCTTGGGTCCTGGCCTCCGTTCACCCCCAGCCTCGCTCCTACTCGTCCGGCCTCCTTTAGTCCCCAGCCTCGCTTCTCTTTGAGTCCTGGCCTCCGATCCTCCCCAGCCTCGCTCCTCCTTGGGTCCTGGCCTCCGTTTATCCCCAGCCTCGCTCCTCCTCGGGTCCCGGCCTCCTGCCCCAGCCTCCCTCGTCCTGGGTCCTGGCCTCATCCCTCAGCCTCCCTCCTCCTCGGTTCCCGGCCTCCTCCCCCAGCCTCGCTCCTCCTCAGGTCCCGGCCTCCTCCCCCAGCCTCCCTCCTCCTCGATTCCCGGCCTCCTCCCCCAGCCTCCCTCTTCCTTAGATCCTGGCCTCCTCCCCCAGCCTCGCTCCTCCTCGGGTCCCGGCCTCCTCGCCCAGCCTCCCTGGGCCCGGCGCACGCACCTTCCCGCAGGCGAGGCAGCGGTGGCGCCGCAGCGCGAGCGAGAAGTCGCAGCCGCAGTTCCCGCAGGCAGTGGGGAGGGTGCAGGTGGGGGGGGAGGGTGCTAAGGCGTGGGGAGGCGGTGCAGGTGGGTGAGGGTATGCTGTCGGGGGAGGGGTCTCGGTGGGGAGGGGGCGTGGTGGGGGAGGGGTTAGTTGGGGCGAGGGTGGGCGCGGTGGGGAGGGCTCATGGGGGGGAACGGGTATGGTGGGGGAGGGGTGCCGGTGGCGGCGGAGGGTGCTCGGTGGGGGAGGGGTATGTGTGGGGAGGGGTGGTTCGCTGGGGGCAGGGCTCCATGTGGCGGGGTAAGTGGGGGAGAGGGTGCGCTCGTTGGGGAGAGGCACGTGGTGGGAGGCGGCGAAAATATGTGCCGCTGGGAGGGGTATGTGGCGGGCGGGAGGGTGCTCCCGTGGGGAGGTGCTCGGTGGGGGGAGGGGTATGTGTGGGGGAGGGTGCTCGGTGGGAGGGGGCCTCAAGTGGGGAGGGATTGTGGGTGGGGAGGGGCGCTCAGGGGGGAGTGGTGCTCGGTGGGGGAGGGGTAGTGTGGGGAGGGGGTGCCTCGGCGTGGGGGAGGGGCTCATGGATCGGGGGAGGAGGTATGTGTGGGGGAGGGTGGCTCGGTGGGGAGGGGCCACGCTGGTGGGGAGGGGTATGTGTGGGGGAGGGGTGCCAGGTGCGGGAGGGGTCCTGTGTGGGGAGGGCGAGACGGGTGGTGGAGGTATGTGCGTGGGAGGGGCCAGTGGGGGAGGGTATGTGTGGGGGAGGGCGGGGCGGGGCGGGTGC